TTTTCTCTTTCTTTGGCTAGTTTATATATATATATCTTTCACTGACTTCAGCATATAATCTATTATAAGGATCACGAAAAGTAGAAGTCTTGGTATCACTAAAAGCAGAAGGCTTTCAAGTTACTAAATAATGAAAATCAATTTTTCCTTGCTCATATGAAAGACACAACTAAGGAGGTGGGTGGTTAAACGATATTCAAGTGATAAAGGAATAGTCATAAGTTTTTCTGGATAAGTTACTTGTACTACCATCAATGAGGGAGAGATTTTAACATTGGAGTTTTTGTCAGCTTCCGAGTCAAAATCTAAAGTATCATATTGAATGATAATTAAGGAATTATAAGAATTGAAGATTCAATTATTGGAACTATCAGATGGAAATATTTATTAGACCTAATACATCACATTTGAGGAAAAGGAATGTTTTTAGTTTTTAAACAAGAATGATTGGAGTTCTAGAATGTGTATTGCGCATAAAATTTAAATAAACTTACAGTTAATAAGTATCCATTACTAATAATTAATGATCTTTTTTATCAGTTAAAAGTAGCTTCTATATTTTTCAAGATTAATATATGATCAAGCTATCATTAGCTGAGGATTTAAAAAAAAAGAAAACAAATGCAACATTCAGTACTTGATATGGATATCAAATGTTCCAGCAATTTTAATGGATATAATGAACATGGTTTTTTGACCATTTCTTAATCTATTTGTAATAACATTTATATATGATATTTTGGTTCATTCAAATAATAAAAAATGTCTGAAACATTTACCATCTGATGATTTGGTTAGGAGAGTAGATGTTTTAGATTCAACTTATGTTAAAAAAGGTAGAGGTAAAGGGTAGAGGTAGACTTGTGCATATTTTTTAAAAAATGATCTTAATTTATTAGAATTAAAAAGAGGTAGACTTGTGCATATTGTTTAAAAAATGATCTTAATTTATTAGAATTAAAAAAAATATATGACACTCAATAGGACGTAATGGAGAAAAAATGTAACCGACCCCACTTAGTGGGATAAAGGCTTGTTTTTGTTGTTGTTTATGTAAATAATACAATCATTCAAATCATATACATGTCCTTTTACAAGCTTTAAAAAATATAAGTTATATACAAATGTCTCTAAATGTGAATTTCGGCTAAGAAACATTACATTTATTAGATATGTAATTATTAGAGAGGGTATATCAATAGATCAAAATAAAGTCAAAGCAATTACTAATTGGCCAAGGCTGACTAAAATTTCAAAAATTAATGCAGGGCGCTAAAAGGCATTGTGAAAGTTGAAAACTTCCCCATAATCAAATGAAGTTCAAATTTATTGTGATGCATTATTAAGGGGTCTAGCACGTGTTTTCAAGCAACATAAGAAAATCATTATTTAACCATCCAGGCAATTAAATAATTATGAATGAAATAATTTTACACATGAATTAAAGTTGACAACATTGTTTGCACTCAAAATTTAGAGGCACTACTTATATGACATCATATGTGAAATTTTTATTGATCACCAAATTTGAAAAATATATTTATTTAAAAATATTAGAATTTTACACAAAGATGTGGCTAGAATTTACTAAGGATTACATTTTGGATAATAATATTATTCGAAAAAGACAAACATTGCAGACGCACTAACAAGAAAAACTTCAGAAATATTAAATTAGTTAATAACTGAGCAAAAGGATATAGGTAAGCAATGATTATAGTGATTGATTGCAATGATAAAAATGTTGTTCAATTGAATTAATTGACAAAACAATTTATCTTAAAGAAAGGAACGCTAGATTTATTGAGCAAAGATATTACTATTTAAGAAATCCTAACTCAAGCACGGGAGAGCAATATAGAGGAATACATGATAGATGAAAATCAATTGCTAAAATAAAAGAGCAAGATTTATGTTCTAAATAATATAAATCTAATGAAGAAAATTTTAGGAGTGCATTTGTCTCACTGTACACAACTTACATGAAACAATAAAATATATCAGGAACTAAAAAAAAATACTTTGGTGGTCGGGACTAAAAAGAAGTGCTGCAAACTTATTATTAAATGTCCTATGCTAGTTAGTCAAAAAACATCAAAGACAAGATGGCCAGTTACAATCATTATTAATATCAGAGAGGAGGAAAGAGATAGCAATGGATTTTATGATTGGATTGTCTAGATTAAAAAAAAGATGTGATGCTATATAGGTCATAATAGATAGATTAACTAAGTCCATGCATTTCTTGCCAAATAGATGGGCATATTTTGTTGAAAAATCAATAAATTTGAATGTAAATGGTATTGTACGATTGCAGGAAGCACCAAAGTCACCGTTTCATATAGAGATGACATTTATATCTGAGTTATGAAGGAAAATTTAAAAAAGCTATGGATACATGTTTGAGTTTCAATACTGCATTTCATCATTAAATAGAAGATCAATTAAAAAAGATATTTCAAATAGTAGAGAATTTACTTAATTTATGTATTCTTGATTTTAGTGGAGGAGGGAAGTCATATATTATTAATTGAATTTGCAAATATCAACAATTTTTTAGTAAGCATTGGAATGCCTTCATATGGAACTTTTCATGGAAGGAAATGTAGGACACCATTATATTGGGCTAAAATGAGAGAGAATTATTGGTGCAGATTCAATAAGGATTCCTATAGTACAAAAATGGAAATATAAGCCGCAAAACTAGTTGTCTGGACTAGTTCAAATCCATTTATTTTGACTGTGAACTGCATTAAGCAAGATAGGTTTAACAACCCCCAGGAAATAATTAGCAAAAGTAAAATATGGAATCAAATGTATTCAGATAGGGTTCCCAGATCTTTTCCAAAAATAAAATGTTGTTCACCAACTTTGAATGATGGAAATTTCAGCATGTGTATATTTGTAAGATAAATATCAGTATTATGTCTTCAACTAAAGCAAATAGACATGAATAGATCTAACCATGTATAAAGAATACGCTCCAATGACTTCTGAACTTGTTCATGCTGGAAGAAGGTTACATCAGGAACAGTTCTTGGACAATCAACAGCAATCTAAACAACAAAAATACAGCAAAGACAAAAAGAAAGAATAATTCCAGAATGAAAACAGGTTTAGCAAACGAACAAGGCATGATGGTTGGTTAAAAGGGAGAAAAAAACCTGGCGAAGCATGCTGATTTCATCATCTGAACGTTCTGAATCAGGAATGTCATAGAACTGAGCAACTGAATCAAGGTATTCCAGTCGTTTCCTTGACAAAACCCCCTGTCTTCTATCTGAATTAGGTGGTGCATATCCCTGTTGTCAGCTAATATCTGAATTTCAGGCATGCAGCATATGATTTATAATCATGCAAGCATAACAGGTAAGTCATGAAATTCCATATTAACAGCTGCTGCAGTGTGATCTAACCCTGACGGTCAAAATTGTGCCAAAAAATGAAATAAAGCAATTGTTGCTCTACAGTTTCTGTGCAGGGTTCAATAGCAGTTTTTAAAAGAAGGAAAGAATTAGAGACCACAAGGTAGAAGAATATAATAAGCATCCATGTATCTTATCTTCTCAAGGCAACACATGATTAGGAGAAGCAAGGAAGCTCTCGAGAAGAAAAGCTTTAGAGTTTCTTCAGAAAACTAGTACAGATTCAGATTGACTAACGCCAATCATTACTAGGAAGACTCGTTGATAAGTGGCCATGCTCAAATTCACCATATATTGATAAGCATGCCAAAAATTTTGTTCTTAAATTTAAGAAAATAAACTTATTGTGAACTCGTACTCACATAATAAAGATGAAAAGATAAATTTTCCTTACCAGCTTATGAGCGACCACTATCTAGGTCAACTTAATCCTTTTCAATTATTATATTTTTTTAAACAATTACTTAAATTTAATAGAGCAACAAACTGAAAAACGCAATAGTGGAAGATCTAAAGAGTCATCCCATTTTACTTTACCAGATCCAACAGAAAATAATATTCCTCAACGGAAGGATTATGTGAAAATCAGTAAGAAAAATAAATAAAAATTAACAGACTAAAGAGCAGTAGGTTCAAAGTTGTCATGAAGCCTTCACTGAATGATAGTTTACAAAATATTTTCAAATGCAACAAACTATTGGTGTTTACCCAAATATGATTTGGGTTAAAGTCGAGGAGATGAAATGAACTCTCGAGGAATCAGGTACAGGGCATTAAAAGTCACTTGCCCAAGCACAAAAGGCACTGCCCCACCATGAAGGCACTCCATAGGGGACTCGAAAGAAAAATGTTATTGAGAAGCGGCAACTTCATTTCTTCAGTGAAACATTTAGAACACTTACTAAGGCAACAATCTACGTGCACTAAGTATATCCACATCATGTAATTGGATATATCATGAATTATTTTATTAAATTAGAATATAATCTCTCATATAGCGCCCAAAAATAATATAAACATAAGGTCAAAAGGTACAACGATAAATTTCCTAGTGTGAAACAATAAAACATTTCAATTTTTTTTCATTTCAGCTCTCTTTACATTTCTCTCTTCTTTCTCTTAGCCGAATATTCTGTCCAGATCTCGTGGGACTTGTAAATATCACTACAAATAGATTTGAATCCAACAATTGGCATAAATTGTGACAAGCTTCTACCATGATTTATCGTACTACAAATTGAAAATTATAAGAGAAAAAAAAGCTAAGCCATAAAAAACTTTCTGAACTTCTTCGAGACTACAAATGTTTGTAATCTCTATTGGATGATGCTCAGTTTATGAATATAAAAAAAAATAAACGGATTTTACAGTAAATAAGAAATTACAGCATAGATTTTTCAAAATTTGGCGGGGAACAATACTTCAAGTGATAAAGCACATAAGGAAAGGTCCAAATGTAAAGCTCACAAGGTCTTTCACATGTTGAAAATAATCTAAGAAGGTGAAAAGAGATTTTTTTTTAATACATGTAATAATCAAAGACAAGAAAGGACAAGAATGAGCTTGCCAAAGAGACTTTTGAGGGTCATTTGAACTTGATTTTTTTAAGACTCTTTTAAATCAAGATCAGTTAGCAAACAAAACTTCGCAATATCTCTAAACTACCGGCAAAGGACCATGGATGCAAGCCATTGACAGACTAAAGCCAAAATTCAGAGGTTGCTGAGAAAATCAATTTGAAGCAAAACGATTATTTACAATTAATGACCGTTTTATTTCATCTCTAGTTATGTCACAAAAGCAAAATCTAAAAAGTAGAATTTACCTTAATTCTTAAAACGTTATACAAAAGAACAAATATAGAAAGAAGTATTGCTTGCCATCCCCACCACAAAAATAGTAGTGTGCAATAAAAAATCTTTATTTTGTCCTCGGCAATTGCAAACTGTCTCAATGAAGATGTAATCATGAAATCATTCGTAAATTGAGTCCACTCTTGAAATTTTTATTTATGACTCCAGTGAATTAGCTTATCATCCCTACACTATTTTTCAGAAGGTAAAGATATAATTATGCTCAAGTTAATTAAAAAGAAGCAGGAAAAGAAGTATATATAGAAGAATATTGTAATTAAGGAATACTGTTCTGTAATGATCGAAATGACAACATTCAAATTCATGCAACAAAAGGTCTATCTTATGATTCCTTCAATGTATACTGATTTTATAATACTTAGAACAATGTATAATACCAAGAAAAATACCAAGAAAAAAACCTACCAAGAAAAAAAAAACCTTGAATTGTAAGTTAGGTCTACAGAGTTGCGTTTTGAGACTACTTGATTAATAGAATTCAACGTGTTCTCACAGATTTGATGTAAAATGAACATTTTAAAAAGTGTGAAAAGCTAGATAGATAATTGAAGTTACTGTCTGCAAGGTTTAAATTGATATGCCTAGAAGAAATTTTTGGTTGTCTAGTAACAGCAGTGTATCCCCGAAGATAGAAATGACAGCATTGCCAGAGCCAGAAGAGAAGGCTTGGCGCCACGGAAACCAAGTGATAAATTAATAGAAAATTCTGATTTCAACAAAAAAAATACAAAATACCAAATCTAAATGAAATAACTAAAATAAATCATAAATTGCCAGAAGAGAAGGCTTGGCGCCATGGAAACCAAGTGATAAATTAATAGAAAAGTCTAATTTCAATAAAAAAAAAAATACAAAATATCAAATCTAAATGAAATAACTAAAATAAATCATAAATACAATCATTTATACACCCATTCAACTAGGCATAATAAACATGTCGATAAAAGAGTAACAAAAAAGGCCCTTGTTTGGAAGTCTAGCAGCCATGTTAGAAAATATAGGACACAAAAACATCTTTAGCATTATCAAGATATGTAGTATGATTATTTAAAAAAAAGTGCCCGAGAAAAACCATGCAATATATATAATCATCAAAGTAACACCAAAAAAAATTCTGTAGTCACATGGTAACTGCAACAATGGTAAAACAAACTTAATTTGTGATGGAGTAAGAAAAAATTTAGAAAGTTTAGGCACAACTTGTCACTCCATCTATAGAGGTTGGAAAGTTAAAGGAATGGCCAAAGACACCTCAAATACAGTAACATCATATAACAAAATATCATGCTCAATTTTTGGGTCAAGCTCATCTATGGGAATAGAAAATCACATGCACATTATCTTCCACTTTGTCAACGAAATCATCAACAAGGAGGAGTAGGTAATGGGTTTGCTGAAGCTAGTGCAGCATTAAAACTCGTGGGGTTGGACAAACATGTGAAATGAGTTTGTCAAGTTTTCTCAACTCTTCACAGCATTTGAAAAGGGTTTCGAGGAGGCTTGAAATATACTTCATAAGTTGAAATATGATAAGATTTAGGACAAATATATGCATAACCTACATAGACATATAAACATGATTGATGCATCCTCAACTTCATTATCCAAAAGTTTCAAGCAATATTTTGTCCATCTAAATCATATTCAGAATAAACCCTCAACAAAAAAAATGTCGAAATGATCCCTGGCTCGAAGTTTCCAGCAATATTTTGTCCAACCCCAGATCTAAATCATATTCAAAATAAATCCTCAACAAAAAAAATGTCGAAATGATCCCTGGCTCTTTACAAATGATCATTCTAATACTCGATTCTATAAAAACATCAAATTAATCCCCAGATTTTTTTAATACGTGCTGAAATAGCACTAGACTCATTTAAAAAGAGGTGTTTTTCAACCCCATTAAAAGATTCTAATGACTAAATTGAAAGTTTAGACTTTGAGACTAAAATAGGCCCATGTAAATAGTCAAAGGACCGTTTTTGGCACTTTTCTCTATTCCTCAAAAAAGAAAATCATGACTTTTATTAAATAGATCAATAGAATAATAATATTGATAGTATAGTGAACCTTGAGAATTTTTTGACTTCACAAACATGCTTTGCATGTATTTTCCTCAAATATACCATGCATCATGAACAATTAAATTGCATAGGTTGTATCAAAGGTATGATACTAAACAAAAACAATTCTAGAATTTGAGATTAATGTTTGATAAAAATTTAATGTACACCAATTGATTTGTTGAAAAAATGAACTGGTGAACAAGCGAAGAGGGATAGAAGCATGGGATGGTTTTGCAGAGATAAGGTCAAAATAAGTATGGTTGTGATCAAATACTAGGAAAGACAAGGAGTGCACACAAGTGAATGCACAGGATTTGTGGTGAATCACGTAAGAGCAAAACTAATTGGGTTTTGTATGACACGTGATAGGAATGGCATGTAAGATGCAGATTGCAAGAGTACAGAGGAATGTGAGTGTAGAGTTTAGGTATTATAGCGATGCACAATATATGATGCAAAATAGTGTGAAGATAAAGCAGCTTTAGGAGAAGTACATGTGGGGTAACCTCGCGAAGGGGTATCAAGTTGCAAAATTTAACACTAAATAATGTATGGTCTAGGAGCAACAAATAAGAAGAGTATTAAGGGAGAGAGATTACAAGAAGAATCAACTTTCATTCATTAAACCACTGATCTCATTATAAGAAGTTGGAATCCATATTTAAGAAAAAATAGTTACTAACGAAAAGATTGAAATTTAATTTAATGAAATCCTTTTGAAAAGTTCAAATTAAAACTTAATATTATATGAATAAATAATTAATTTTAAATTTAATTTAAAAAAATCCATAAATACTAATTTAGATGAAACTATTGAAATTAAACCTAACTTAGCGGAAGTATGTGGTTGAATAGCTAAGCTCAAGCCTAAGTTATTTGATTATAGCTTTACGTACGTCAAACATAAAACTCTATTGACAAGTAGAAACTGCAGAAGTATGGACACATATTCCTTTGTCTTATTTGTGAATGTAGCATATGCCTGCCTCAACTATGAATGTAGGTTTGGTTCAATGCGCAATCTAAAAATTGTTGTCTAAAGTTATTAGTTTCCCACCATAAGAAGTAGAAACTATAAGCAAAAACAAGAGTTCCCATGCATAACAAACCTATTGCCTATTGCTAAATCAAGAGTAAATAAATTCAAGGCACAATCATTAACAGGTAAATGTACCAAAAACTGTCAACATAAGATTCTTACCAGAAGCAGTCTCCAAACATGAGGTCGCATGTAAGGTGGTACACCACTCCATGCTAATTCACGTAACTTCTCTGTGGCATCAACAAAAAGGTAAAATGTCAGTCTTCTGGTTCAAGCTAATGTGAGAATCTATTGATGAAAAGGTATCAGAAAACCAATGGTAAAGGAAGTACTATAATCAGAAATACAACAAATTGTATGTACCCTAGAAATGTTTAAAATCAAGTAGTTACCACTTTTATGAAAAAGATTCTTGTACATATTGCTTCATCAAAAATACAGAAATCCTATTTGGTACTGCTTCATAAAGAAATAAAAAATTCTAAATCAGAATTCAAAGCCCTAGGGATGAAAGCCTTCGTGTTTATACCATTTAAAGACATGACATCAAAAAGTGATCTATTTACACTTATTTATCTATTTTTTTGGTTGATTTATATTTGTTTTCTTAATTTAATAATTAAAAACATGTCAATGATGATTGTTGAATGAGGGACGTCCCGCCGTTTATTTCATAGCATAAGTTAGTACATATGATTTGACATGATTTTCGTATTCATTCAATTTAAGTTAAATTCCACAAAGGAGTGAATTGGCTGCAGTAAAGTGCTTGTAAGATGGCTATTTTGATTTTGTAGCTTTCGTGGCACAAATCAATTTATCTATTTTTTCGTTCTTTCGTGGCACAAATCAATTTGGATTCATTTTGGGCATGTCTACTTTGGAAGCTATACATTTATTGAGAGGTTCGATGGAGAGGTATGGAGATAGTAAGGAGAATCTACATATGATTTTTGTTGATTTAGAAAAAGCTTATGATCAAGTTCCAAGCGATGAACTTTGGAGAGTTCTAGAAGAGAAATGTGTTGATATTGCTTATATTGAAGTCATTAAAAATATGCATACTAGAGTTGATACTTGTGTTCAAACACAAGGAGGATTGACCAAGTAGTTTCCTATTTCAATTGAATTACATCAGGGATCAACTTTAAACCCATATCTTTTGCTTTGGTTATGAATGTTCCTATGAAACATTTACAGGAGGGTGTAATTTAGTGTACGATTTTCGATGATGACATCCTTCTTGTAGATAAGACTAAAGAAAGAGAGAGAATTTGGGAAAATTTTGAATTAACAGAGGTAAACTTTAAAGTCTATATGGCTTTTTTTTAGTAAATCTAAAACTGAACACAAGGAATGCAATTTTAGTAGTAGCAGATCTAGTGGCGAGATTATAATAATGGATGCCAAATGATTTTTTTATGTAAAAACTTACTATTTCATTCAACATACGTGTTTAAATATGTGTTACAATGTTTAACAAATAAACCCAATAAAACTCTCTAATTACAATAACTCACAACACTCTAATTACACATAACTCACAATACTATTAATTCAAAATTTGAGAAAATTTTGAATTAACAGAGGTAAACTTGAAATTCTATAAGGCTTTTTTTAGTAAATCTAAAACCGAACACAAGGAATGCAATTTTAGTAGTAGCAGATCTAGTGGCAAGATTATAATAATGGATGTCAAATGATTTTTTTATGTGAAAACTTACTATTTCATTAAACATACGTGTTTAAATATGTGTTACAATGTTTAACAAATAAACCCAATAAAACTCTCTAATTACAATAACTCACAACACACTAATTACACATAGCTCACAACACTCCCCCTCAAGATGGGTGAAAGATATTCACTAAGACCATCTTGTCATATAATCTAGCTAACTCCACTGAACTAAGTCCTTTAGTGAGTAAGTCAGTCACCTGCTCTCCATTAGTTATATGACTTAGTTTCAACAATCTGTTATCCAGCTTCTCCTTATAAATAGCCTGGGCTCGTAGACAATATAGAATTTCATAAAAGATTGGCTCAAAACATGCATTAACCCAAAAACAAACATTAAATGTCAAAACATATCTCAAAAGAGCTTTTTGGCATCAATTCACGTTTCCAAAATCACCAATTTAACATTTCCTCCTTATCACCTCCGACAATAATTTTCTTCACGATTTTGTGCTAAAATATTTTTAAAAGCTCGCAAAATCAATTACCAAACTTCTAGCACAAAATAAGCGCCTTTGACGACTGTCGGAAATGAGAAAAGCACTAAAAACGAGGCAAATGTCAAAATAAATTTGAGATGAAGGAAATGAAGGTCTCAAGTGACATGAAAGAGGGATTCATGCTTGCAGAAATCAAGTCGCCGCCCTAAAATCCCGAGTTACAGCTTCTCTGTGTCGTCCGATTCGCTGCTACTCCCGCCCTTGCACTGCAGCAAGGGTCGCAGCTCGCTAATGCCTGCATGAAAGAAACAGAGAGGGGGCGTGCGAGAAAGAGGGGGGATTGCGAGAAAGAGCAATTCTGAAGGAGAAAATCAAAACTGGAACTCACGATTCAACGGAACAAAGGGATTGAAAGGCATGAGAGGTGGGCAACAGTAGCAGAGAATTAAGGATTTAATTAATTAGGATAATTATGATTTATTAAGTTAAATAAATATATAACTTCCGAATTTTATATTTCTCAATCCATTCATAATTAACTTATGGTGTTTTATATGGAATTGATCGATTTCATGTGTAGAATTTAATAATATTATTTCAATTGAATTCCAAGAGATGTAAAATTTGGGAAAGTTTTCAAATCTGCCAAATTTTACATGGTTTCTTGAAATTTGGGCGTTACACCCCCAAATTTAAACTTCTCTACACTCTCTTCCTCCACTCGAATCCGGGAGATAAAACCAGTTATCCAGACCTCTGCCAGCTCCATCCGAAGTGTTGCCCCCTCTATCCGGAGAATCGCCATGTCCGCTTGAAGGACAGTCAGTTCTTCCTTCAGGTTTGTTATGGCAACCTCCCTCTACAAACTAACTTTCTAGACAGAGTCCACCATTTCGTCTATCCAGATAGCCAGCGACTCTGATGATCCTCGTCAACCATCGGCCTCCCTCTTAATGTCCGCAGGGCAGATAAGTGGTTGAGTGCGCCTCCGCCATGGGCCGGAACAGAATGCCCCTCGACCGCCTATAGAGCAGAGGGATGGTCGGCTTCCATTATAAATGAGTCGATAATCTACACGATCTCCTCAGCAAGAATAATCAAATTTCAGAAAAAAAAAGAACAAAACTATTGAGTAAAAGAAAATTGGGTTTTCTCGTACCAATGATTCGTTCTATCTCAAACGATCGGAGGCACTCACCAACAAGCGGTTGAACAACCGACTGGATGGCCTCACCAAATAAAGGAAAGGGAGGCGCACCTTCACGCGGTTGGACCTGGGTCTCCGCAACCACCTAGACCGGTTGCTGAGCCGGCCGCTCCAATAATGCCAACATCAAGGAAAGGGAGGCGCACCTTCACGCGGTTGGACCTGGGTCTCCGCAACCACCTAGACCGGTTGCTGAGCCGGCCGCTCCAGTAATGTGCACATCAACCCTACTCCCTGTCTCACGATGGAGCAGTATCGAGTCAAATGACCCGACCGCTTCCTCCACTCTTTATTTCTTCTGAATCACTCGCTTAAGCAACTTCCCCTCTAGACAGCTTCCTCCTACCAACCTTTTGAGCTAACAAGTCAATAAATAAGTCAATTATTACATTTAGGTCTTTTATTCTTATCGTAGTTGTCGCTTTCAAGTAATAAGAGAATCAGAGAACTAAATATGTACATCAAAATTATGAACGCATGAATCTCAAGGAAATTCAACGAGTCTCGTTTATGAACACTAAAGGCAATGTATCGGGATAATCAAAAGACAAAAATGCCGAGTGTCATTTCGCTCGGTCGGAACTATGAGCCGAGCGAACGGAAGCACAACCATACTAAAGAGTAGAAGACACCTAACCCAAGGGACAATCGCTCGTAACCAACTCCCTCGGAAGATTCTGAAATTCTTCATAAAGATGGTCGAAGGGCACCCTGTGGCGCACGTATCTGATCCTCTAAGAATGCTCCTTGTCCAAGGATAACAGCTCGTCATATTACGATGATACACCATCTGCCTAAAGGTCTAAGTTCACTTTAACGATACGATAACCTCTGCTCAAAATTCCATTGAAAAGGCTGATCGATGACCTCTCAGCCGATCGAAGGTATGCAGCTGACCGAATGACAAGATTAAAGGGTCATTAAATGCCCCTCTTCAAGTTGTTATGATTACAAAACGGTGATGATGTCAGTTATGAATATGAAAGGGTCCTAGAGTCGATTACAAACACGAAAATATGTAATAATGACTTGTAATGTCCTTATTAAAATAGGGATAAACATGTAATTTTACTATATATCAATAAAGAATTACTCAATTTACTCTCTCAAAACTTATGTTAATGTGCAATCTGTTTTCTCTCTCAATCTCTCCTTTATATTCCTCTTGTTCGTCTAACGCTCTATGCCTTGGGTGTTATCCACAGGACATATTTAGATTCAACAAAAAGTAAGCCTAAATATCTAGTTATTGAGTATGTAGCTTATGGGAAGCTATCCTCACTTTATAATGCTTTTGTATTTAATATTGATAATGTACAGATTCCTAAATCCATTCATGAAGCTCTCAAAGTTCCAGAATAGGGGAAAATTGTTAAAGAGGGATTTAAGTATAAAAGCATAATGACAATAGATTCTTATTAAACTTCCTCGGGATAAGAGGTCAAATAGATGCAAATGTGTATTCAATATCAACTATAGAGCTGGTGGTGACATTGAGAGACTCAAAGCTAACTGATTACAAAAGGTTTCGCTAAAGCCTATGGGATTGACTATGAGGAGACATTTGCACCTGTTGTCAAACTAAACACTATCAGAGTTCTCCTCTCAGTAATAGTTAATAAGAAGTTGGGATTGCATAAACTAGACATAAAAAATATCTTCCTAAATAGGGATCTTGAAGAGAAGTGCACATGTAGATATTATCAGGACTTGAGAATAATTCCAACAAATATCTAATATGCAAACTCAACAAGTTCCTCTCAGTTTTAAGCAATCTGCAAGGGCATGATTTTAAAGGTTTACTAAAACTATGAGATCTAATAGATATTTTCAAAGTCAAGCTGATCATATATTGTTCATAAAACACATTATATGAGGTAAGATTATCGCACTAACAGTATATGTAAATGATATGATTCTTACTGATGATAATGAAAAAAATTCTTAGAATCAAAGAAAAGCTTGCCGCTAAGTTTGAAATAAATAAAAAAATAAAAAAAACAAAGAATCATGATACATTTTCTAGGTATGAATGTAACAAGGTCCAAAAAAGGTATTGTTAGATCACTAAGGAAATAAACCTAGATTTGCTAAATGAGATAAAAATGATTGAATACAAATACTCCAATAGGTCCCAACAAGAAGTCTAATAAGAGAAAAAATTACATCTATGGATAAGGAAAGATATCAAAAATTGATAGGAAAACTCATCTACCTGTCACATACTAGGCCAGATATTGCATACTCTGTTAGTATTGTTAGTCAACATATGAATAAACTAAATAAAGAGTATTTTGCTTGGTGTACAGAATCATAAGATTTTTCAAAAAAAACTCCTGGTTATGAATTAATTTTTTAGAGAGCCAAAAGCAGAGAGATAAAAGTCTACATTGAAACAAATTAGGCTAAGAAATTCACTGATAGAAGGTTCTCCACAGATTATTGCTCCTATGTATAGGAAAATTGGTCACATGAAGAAATAACAAACAAATTATTGTCCCTAGAAACATTGTAAAATCAGAGTATACCTTACGAATCTATGAAGAGATCTGGATTTAGAAATTGTTCCAGGAATTGAGTACCTCTAATAGACCTATACAAATATTTATTGTTCCAAGAATTGAGTACCTCTAATAGACCTATACAAATATTTTATCAGGTCAAGCAACTATATGTTTTGTCGAGAACCACGTGCATCATTACACGACTAAAAATATTGACATTGATATGCAATTTATCACAAAAGTTAATGATGGAATTATACAGCTAAGTTATGCCCCGCAAGTTGTCGGTGTCTTCACCAAAACTCTTCCTTTAAGCAACTTCTCAAAGTTCAAGAATAAACTTGGTCTCTACAACATCTACAACCCAACTTGCGGAGGAATGTGGAAATCTAGGAGGATCAGCCTCCTTTTCATAGTCCGCCCAAACCGACCATCCAAGGAATGATGGATAGATTAATTGGAGACAATTTGAGAAACGCCTAGATTAATTTTTATTGCCTTCCTACTTATGTTTATTTCAGAATTATTTCCTTTCCATATTTATGATAGATGTATTTGGTAAGATTGTAAATCACAAAGGACCGATTTCCTATGTGTGTAGCCTTATGGTTGAAGATCGGTAATGAGAATTAAGTGAGTATTCCCTCCCACGTTTTCTTTCTTCAGCAATTGATCGTTATGTAGTGTGTCTTAGGTTATGGATTTCTATGATTCTAAATGATGTGATGAATGAAATTCAAGCACTTAAAAGTTAGAATTCAAATGTTAAAGACAATCAATGAAATAGTTACTTGGAAAACTTTTGATGCAAATAAGAGTAATAAAAACAACACAAATAGTAATTAAAATAAACCCAGTAAAATCCACAGTAAATTAAGGAGTATAAGATCAAACTTCAATCAAGAAACATGTTGATATCATAAAAACCCATTTGTAGCATTTTTTTACTAAAATTAATCACGCTTGAAAAAATAATCACAGAACATGAAGTTAAAAAAAAAATATAAGAGGTCACCAATAAAAAAATATTGAGGAATCTACCCCTGAGATAAGTAATCATACTTGGACGACACACTAAAAACTCAGTATCCAACAAGCACACAAGATTGATATAAACCAAATATTTTAGCAAGCAAAAATTATTTTAAAAATGCCTCAGTAAATGAACAATGCGACAATGTCAATTGTTTTGAATTCTTCAAAACATTGAAATTTTGAGCACCCAATCTCAACAACTACGATAGATAAAAATCATAACATTGCCAACCACATTCATAAGCAAATATGCTATTGCAAACCAAACATAAGTTATAACATTCAACAACAGCTAACCTCTAACAAGAACAGATAGACAAAAGAACTAGACAAACAAGAAAACAAAAATAACGGAAATGATCATTAGGATAAATATACCCATTATGTAACCAAATGAAACTTCAATAAAGTAAGCGAAAACAAAGCTTAATAATGGTACCAACTTTATGATTTTGAAGGCTCATGATCAAGAAGGAACTGGCTCCAACACAGCAACGCATCTTGGAAGCACCAAACAATAATCAAATGACCCGAGGATAGAGACAAACCAATGAAAAAACCAAAATGAACCAACTAAAAATAGGCACAACAAAGAACAAAACTCGTTCTCCCTAGCAACTATCATCAATCAAATATATGGTTACAAAATGTATTGAAAAATTATAAAAATAAAATAAGTAAAATGTAAAGAAATAATTAAATCAATGGATTACAAATTTCCTCATTTCAATGGGCAATACTTGCACTTTCAACAAGTGCAAACCTTTAAATTTCCACAAAATCTACCTGACATTAAAAAATTTGGCTCCAACGAAATTAGCATTTATTATTTACCAAACAAATTATGACATAATGTTTTGTGCTTTGTGCAATATAATCTTAATGATAAAATATAAGTCTGTCATGATAATGCACAAGGTATCTCTATAAACTTCATTAACTATGGCTCTTGGAATAAAATGGGCAACATTTATTGGCATAATGCAAGATGTGTATTCAAAAGTAGAAGATTAAAGGGAAAGCAAAACCACTGCATAAAAAGTAAAGTCATGAAATTAAGCCTTCATCCCAATGTGTTGAATAACATTAGCTGATCCTGCCTTCCTAATAGTTAATTTTTTAAAGGTTATTATTGGAACCTCTCAAACATAATTAGCAATTCAAGTTAAACATCTGCTCAAAAGAATTGGTAGGATTGTACACAATCTCATCTCATCCAATTCTACATTCCAAGAGTTACGGTTTCTACAACTCTTTAAACTTTAAAATCTTAGTTTCTCCCTGCATCCAAAATTGATTTATACTTAAATTACTTCAACTTTGTCCAGTGATTATTTACATAACAAAGTTTTGCATGCATCATAGAGAATACATAAAAAATGTTCTGCATGCTAAATTAAATATCCTTTTTTGCACATAAGAAAACTTCTACGCTCACCGCACACCAAGCATTAAATTAGAATGAAATTCCATCACATTTTTGCATTTAGCTTTTTTAGCGTCAATGTGAATAGTCTTATGTAAAAATCAATTCCAACTTTATATCATCTAAAAATCAAGATGAAATTACAGCAGACAGAAGGCAATATCCATGTAAAATTATGTAGTAATCCTAAGTTGTGTTGTACATAAATGTAGTTAGTCTACCAAACGAGATGAATGAGAAGCTCTACAATTACATCATGAAGTAATGGAAATGGAAATTTCATCAAAAGTTTCTGCAAGCAAAATTACTGCATAAATTTTAGAAAGAAACAATTTTTAAGACAAAATTTACGCTAAGCAACAGTTTTGCTATCTAAATAGACTAATTCGATGCATCAGGTAAAGACCATGATGCATGACTATATCAAAGATGTGCATCTTCTTAACAAATGACCAGTTACATACAATGCAATACTTAAAAAAAATAATCAAGAATGAATCTAACAAAATGGTCCTCCACAAAACATACCTAGTATTACAGATGGTTTAGACATCTCCTTTGTAAATTTAGCAACTCTTGCAGAATCTGTAGCTCTGGCACCCAAAGAAGATTTCTGGGTATCCATGGTGGCACCTTTCTCATTATCCACTGATGGTAGTTTTGCAATGGGAAGGACGCTACCACCTCCAGAGCTTCCAGAACGCACACCTTCTCTCTGTAGCACATATATTTTCACTTCTTAAGGAAGGCAGCTGAAATGGATGCCTAAGGTTTAATACTCATTCTTTACATAAGTATACCTCAAAAGAATGGGGCACATGTTCACCTTTCTGAAAGTAATTCTCAGCAGAACTTTTTTCATGCTCTGGAGGTCTTGGTGAGAGGCTTTCATTCATGGTCTCTGATTTGCGTGTTACTAAAACTTTACCAGGAAAGCTACGACCTTTTAGCAACCTGGAGTCAAATTAACAAAGTAACAGAAAATATTGAAAGCATTATACATATTAATGCATAAAAAGGCATTCAAAATGATATACATAGAGGAAAACTCATATGTTGTCTGGTAGAAAAGAATATTTAATAGATATTCTAAACTGTATAACCAAAAATTAACTTTAAAGCAAGTTCAAATATTAGTTGCAATAAAAGGAGATGAAAGGGATCTTTAAAGACTGAAAGGAGTTGTAAAAACCCAACTTAATGTGAAATAAAGGCAGATGAGTGCTAAAATTTTCATTAAGCTTTAAAGAATTTAGACAAGCTCATTAAAGAAAAACAAGAAAAATTTTGAAGAATTCTCTAAGTGGCGCCATATATTGTCCTTGAGGTATTGTAGAACAGCCCAATTTAGCCAGCTCAAAACTTCAATAATTTAAGTTCATCCTATGCAACTTCCTGGACAATCAACACCAACTAATTCTCCCCTCAGCAAGGTTTACAATTTTATGACCAAAACGAGAAGAAAGACCATTCAAGAATGCCCATCATGAACTGAAACCAAAACGCCCTAATTTATTTATGTGGCAAACAACTTGTAAACCACTTAATAAAACATATTTTAGGTGATTAGAAGAGTAGCTGCTATGTTCACCAAGATTTAGGAGACTAACCATGATTTTATTCACCCGAACCATGCAACGCTAGGAATTATCATTTCAGCATTTGCCAAAACTAAATCCAAAACTAAATTCTCATAAAACAGCCATATACATACAGTCAGCTCCCAATTTTCCATCTTTATAGGACATGGGCGATAAAACAAAGCTGCAAAAAATCTCCAACTGATTTTAAACTCCCCTTTAGAATATTGTTTCCGCTTCAAAAATAACTTCGAACGCACTTAAAGATCTACAAGGAAACCAAATAAACGGGGATATATCGATGAGGAAGATCTAACCCTTGCACGCTTCTAAGTGTCTGATTGAACCTCCATTCGAGATTGGGACTGGGAGAACCACCACCAGCGGAGCTGCTGCCTCCGCCTCCAGCTTCCCTGTTCCGTTCTTCCTCTCCGCTGCTCGTCATGTTTCCGCAGGGAAAAACAACAGAACCAGTAAATTAGATCATGACGGACGCCTGTAATAATCGACGCTGGATTGAAGCAAACGAAAAACTTCCTTTAGTGTAGCCCCGTTCTCTTTTTCCCCCCCCCGCCCTCTCCCCCCTCTCCCCCTCCCTCCTTCCTTCGTCTGGAATGTTTGAAGTAACTGAAGCTCGTGCCTAAGCGAAATTGTCCGGAGAGTTAGAAAGTAACGAGATTTGAAGACCGAAGGATTAAACTGTGATCAGAGAATTGGGTCGGAGAACCTTTTTAAAACAATATTTATTTATTTATTTCAATTAAAATAGCTAATATTCTTATTATAAAATAACAACAATATTTGTATATAAAGATTTAGTATAAATTGTTTTATGTTAGTATTCCGGGGAAATGTTTTGATGATGTTGATGTACAACCTATTCACGAGATGGTGATTGTATTTAGTCATGTTTATAACCTTTAAATATCTATTAATTCAAAAATAATAATAATTTAGATTTGCATTTATATCATACTACATAATTATGATGTATCTTTATACCAAAAACCTAAACTTTTTTTTTTAAATTGATAACACTTAAATATTTAATAAGATAATAAAAATGTTGCTTTCACTAGCTTTTAAAAGTTGATGTACTTCAATTATCACATTGTGCTATTTTTTTTTTATTTCAATAAAAGCTAGCCATGACTTATTTTTCACACAGAAACAAACATTTAAAAGCCATATACACATTTATATATATAAATAAAATAATAAAAATAATAATATAGGTGTGTGTGGGTGGGCGGGCATGCGTGTGTGTGTGTGTGTGTGTTGTATTATATTTTTATCCCTAGACTCACACTTTAAGAATAGAGCTAGCTAGAAAGGAGGAAGAATTTAGACAAAGGGAGTATAAAATAAATTGTATTAAATCTCTGGATATCTATTCAATAGGAAAAATCATTCATTTAACATTAACTATTCCCCCTTTTAGAAGGGCATTTTTTTTCTATAAAATATGCATATGTAATGATTATACATAAATCCCCTGAAATCTATAATTGCTCAAATTTTTTATATTGTCTTGAGTGTACACTTTATATTATTTTTGGTGTCTTATCTTTAATTGGCATCGTATTGAAATTTTTATCCTCAAACACCCTGTTTTTATCCTCTGACACCCTATTAGGTCACATACATTGTTTAGTTTGTCTCTTAGTTTGAGAACTAGTTTTCAAGGCACTCACCTAGGCCTGCCTCAATTCTCGTTAGCCCATCTTGGCTGCTTTTGGTCATACATATTGAATTCCTTGATTGTCTTATCACTTAGAAAGTTATGCTGCAAAATATTAAGAAATGAGTAGATTGAATAAAAATATAATTTAACCATTATTTATGACATAACTATTTCTTGATGTTTGAACACTTGGTTCCTTTATAAAATAAGATGGTTGGATCCTAATAGATATATATATATATAGTGTGTAAATTTGTGAAAGGTTGGAATGACCAACTTTACTGAACCACACCAACATTCTAGAAGCTAAGCTTTTGGAGGGTCAGTTTGCTAAACAAAGAGGAAAAATCAACTCAAAAAGGAGGAAGAAGGTGGTGAACCAATGAGGGAGGGCTCAACTTTCGTTCAAGGGGAGGCCTCCCAGCAAACTCCTGCTGGGTTGAATATCATTGTATTGGACCAAGAGATGGATAATGTTTTCTTAGGATCCCATGCTTGCAGACTGGAAGGGAGGAGGTTGTGATTGAACAAGTAACCAAGGGGGTTAGTTTTACTATTTTTTTGGCAAATTGGACAAAAAGGATAATTATATCGTGCTCTAAGTCCAAGCCAAGTCTAGTCGCTTAGTCTTATTCAATGCCACTAGAGAGTTCTTATTGTAGTATCTTGACATGCCTAAAAAAGTGTTATTTTTATATATATACATTTTATGCTCACTTTTAATGATATTGCACTTTAATGGAAGGTATTTTGCATGTTTTTTTGTTGCAAGATCTAAAAATAAAATTTTAGAGAAAAAAGAGCAAAATTGGAGCAAAACGGGGTCCATTAGAGCAAGATAGCACAAAATGAACTGGCGCTTAGGCGTCGGACCCGTACGTGAAAAAAAAATGAGCCTGACACTATGGCACCATGCAGTTGTACTGAGCTTTTAGAAGGTTGGCACCTAGGCGCCAGAACTGTAGCTTCTTATGACTATGCATTGAATTTAAATGAATTTTGAAAAGGCATCTAAAGTGACTTTTGATGATTTTGAGAGTTATTATATAAGGAGTCAAGAGAAGCCAAAAGAAAGAGGGGGAGGATGTGTCATGTGGTGTGTGTGTGTGTGTGTGTGTGTGTAAGGGAGAGCTTTTGGTGTGTGTGTGTGTGTGTGTGTCTTGGAGTGAAATTGTAAGGAGAGTTGAGAAATCATCAAAGGAACTTCAAAGGATTTGCTTGGAGAGAAGTTTAAGATAAGTATTTTGTTTTTTTGTTTGAGTTTTGTTTGTTATGTGAATCTGAATTTTAATATAAATCATGTTTTGTTGTGTTATCTCTATGAGATCTGAGTAGTTTTCTTTATCTTTCTCCTTGGAATTAGAATTAATCTTGTGTAGTTAGAATTATTTTAGATTTTTCTTATTCCATACTTGTGATGATTCATTACTTCTTACTTAATTTACATATTCAATCTAGCTAATTGGTATGTTAAAACTTGTTGTGAAGCCATACTGACTCGAGAGGGCTATGTATTCCTTAACTAGTAAGAATCACATTAATTTAGTGGGTGATAAGGTAGACAATTGGTTAGTGCAAATACATAGGAAGATAAGTTTTGATGGGTGTAAATTGGTGATTCTAGGATAACATGCTAGAACCTTAACCAATTTGATTTAGAGTTTGGAACTTAAGGGCCGGTTAGTCCTAAAGAGAGGGCATAAGGTTTATAATACTAAAAATGCCTTTAAAATTTTTATTTTTGAGTGTTTTGTTTAATTTTATTTTCTGGACTCTTACTTTTGTATGCGTAGTTCGGGATCTGAAGGTTTAGTACCTTACGATTCTGAGTTAGAACGTACTATAATAAAAATTTGAAAACAAAAAGAACTTCACAATTTACACAAAATGACGAACACATCATACAATAACATTAATAATCAAACAATTGAAAATGAACATCATCATGTACAAAAACCTTTAAGGGATTGCACAAGCCCTACAGTAGATGAATTTCATTTTAAGCATACAAACCCTTACTGTAGCAGCTAACTCATTTGAGATAAAACCCGTTTTAATCCAAATGGTGCAAAACAATCAATTTAGGGGGACACCATCTGAGGATCCAAACTTATACCTTGCTAGTTTTATAGAATTATGTGCTACATTTAATTTCGACAGCGTATCATATGATGTTAGACTTAGACTTTTTTCCTTTTTCTTAAGGGATAAAGCTAAAATGTGGTTAAACTCAATAACACTTGGATCTATCAGAACTTGAGGAGATGTAGTGTAGAAATTCCTAGCTAAGTATTTTTCACCTTAAAAAATTGTTAAGCTTAGAAATAATATTACTACATTTACTCTTTATGAAGGTAATTCAATAACAAAGCTTGGGAACGATTTAAAGAACTCTTTAGAAAGTGTCCACATCACGCTTAGCCAGACTGGTCAATTATTCAAACATTTTATAATGGGTTAGTACGATCTCTTAGATCTATTATTGACACTGCTACTAGAGGTTCATTAATGTTAAAACTATTTGATGAAGCAAATGAGTTAATAAAAGAGATGGATACTACTAACTTTCAATGGCCCTCTGAAAGCATAAAACCTAAGAAAGTAGCAGTGTTCATGATATTGATGTGATTACTATTTTGACATCTCAATTTGTTGCAATACCTAGGAAGTTAGATCAATTCAGAATGAACTTATCTCAAACACCTCATGTGATTAAGGAAAACACGTTAAGACAATTAATTGATTCTCAACCTTCATTTGAGACTTTAAATGCAATTAATAATAGGCCCAATAACCCATATTTTAACTATTATAATTCAGGTTAGAAAAATCACCCTAAATTTAACTAGAATGATAATTTTGGTAGTGGAAATCAACAATGGGGGATAAATTAAGAGAGCTCATTGGGAAACTGGAACAACCAGGGTGGTACTAACTATAAACCTTCTTATCCTCTTGGCTGTACCAATAACCAATAAATTAAGGAGAAGAAGTTGTCTATAGAAGAAGTGGTGTTACAGATGGGGAATCAAAGTCAGAGTGCTACAATTAGAAGTATTAAGAATCAACTGGGACAAATTGCTAACTCACTTACCAATAGGTCTAAGGGAACAATTTTTAGTACCACTAAAATTAATCCAAAAAATAAAAACAAAGAAGTAGTTAAAGCAGTCCAGTTGAGAAGTGGTAGAGAATTAGATACTAAAGTGCAAAAAGAGAATGAAGTTGAGAGGTAACATAAAAAAAATTGAAAAACATGAAGAAAATGTTTCTGAGAATATAGAAAAACCTGTATCTACAACTAAGATCAATTTTAAAAAGACCACAACCTCTATTCCCTTAGAGACTTAGACAATAGAAATTGGATCAACAATTTTCTAAGTTTATGGAGATGCTTAAGAAACTAAAAATCAACATTCCTTTTATTGAAGTAGTGGAGCAAATGCCAAGCTATGTTAAGTTTATGAAAGATATATTAAATAAGAAAAGAAATTTTATTGAACATGAGACTATTGGACTTATTGAGGAATGTAGTGCAATAATTCAGAAAAAACATCCTTAAGAAAACTTAATGATCCTGCTAGCTTTACTATTCCATGTATGATACGAGAAATATTTTATGAAAAAGCTTTATGTGATTTAGAAGCTAGCATTAAACTCATGCTCTTATTAATATTCAGAAGGTTAGGTTTAGGAGAGATTTCTCTCACTATTGTAACCCTTCAATTTGTTGATCGATCAATCACTTATGTGTTGGTTAAGGTGGATAAATTTATCTTATCTATAGATGTTGACTTCTTTTTTGTGAGTTATAATTTCTTCTCTAGAAGTCTGGGGTCTAGCCATAGGGCTTTCATGTTGATTATCTTATGAGATTAGTGATGACACCCACTCCATAGAAATTGTAGCCACTT